AGGCTCACCCTCCTTTTTCTTCCTCTTTCTCTCCCTCTTTCTCCCTCCCTCTCCCCCTTTCTCTCTCTCTCTCGGTCTACATTGTACGTTTTCAGCGGGACTCTTTGCGTTCTCTTCAGTCCCTTTTAAAATGGACCAATAAACTAATTTCAACTCTTGCCTCTCCTCCCCCCCTCCTTCCCCCCCTTTCCCTCCCTCCGAGGATGAGGAGCAGGGCGTCGGAGCGGGTGACGGGGAGGACGAGGTATGGTGGCGCAGGAAGTGTAAAAGACAAGCAGCGAGTCGCGGCCGTTATTAAATACACGCGGGGCGCAAGGAGCTTGGAGACAAAGGCGCGGATTGCCGCGCCACAGAAGAGAGAGTGGGAGAGAGAGAGAGATAGAGAGAGATAGGAGGGGCTAGAAAGAGAGAGAGAGAGAGAGAGGGACAGCGAGAGATTTGGTCATAAAACATGTCGCCTTGGTGGCCTCATCGTCCCGCAACGCCCCGCTTCGCCCCGCCACGCCCCACCCCGCTCCGCCCCGCCTCCCCCACCCCACCACAGCGCGCATTAACACGCCTGGATTACACGCAAGATTAATCTGGCCCGTACATTATCAGCGTGGAGCTGCTGGTGTGAGGCTGCCTGGCCGCGCGGACGCAGTGTGGCTACTACTGTGGCTAGCGGGGCGCGACCGTTTGCGCAAAACAATATAATAAAATTAATTGACTGGAGAAAAAGTACAGTGCAATGTGAAATTTCGAAAACGATAAACAAAGAGTGTGAATTTTTTTTTCTAGAGACGTCCACCCAAAACTTAGATGACTGTCGAGGTGAGCAGGTGTTACGATCCGCGCTGCACGACGATGTATTCACTGCAGCAACGTTTTTAGAATCTCACAACTTGATTTACACACTTAACTTTTCAACGTTTGCCTAGTATTTGTACTAAAATTCTGTGCTGTTGCATATTTATATTATCAACAATTTCTGTAGTACTTCTATACTTTTCCCTAGGATCTCTAAAAGTTTTGCTAGTAGCATATAATTACGATACTCGGCCTAGTAAAACCAAGTAATTTCTTTGATGATGCACAAACTACGGCACAAAAAAGTAGTTACTTAGGCAAATTTTCTTGGTAAAAAGTTTCAGTTTGTGCGGCGAGCGTGTCAGTGAGCTCTCAGTGCTGCGCGCCGCCACCGTCCTCCCAGCAATTCGCACCGCGCGCATGAATGAATCAAGGAACCCCCTGAATGAATCAAAAGGGCGAACGGAACGAACGACTGGCGAATGAACGGTCCGGCGAAATGCGTGTATAACGCGGTGGCGTGTGCAAAGCCGCAGAGCGAAGGGGTCGACCACACAGATTTTAGCTGTACATGAAATATCGGAAAATGTATGGAATATTTTTGGAATATGTCTGGCAAATTTTTTAATGGTACATCTAGAATATTCTTGGAATAACCGGAATATTTTTTGGAATATTTTTCAATGTGCACATGGAATATCCAAGTGGGTGACCCCTCGCCGCAGACCACGCGCGCGCGCCGTATGGATGGAGTTCCACCAGCCGCGTTTGGCCGCCCCGGGCCGAGAGGGGAAGGGGGTGTTGGCGGGGGTCGGGGGTGCTTTCACTTACCCCCCATAAAACCACTCTCATCCCCCGCCCGCCCCTCTCACCCACACACGCCCCCCCCCCCCCCCCCCCCCCCTCTCCCCAGGCCCAAGCCGGTGCGGGCATTCCCACATTAAAAGATTTACTGCGGTCCGGTCCTGGAGGTCCTGGAGGCCTCCAGCCCGGAGGCGGTGAGAGGGGAAGGAGGGGGGGCTAAAGAAAAATGATGCGAATCGTCTCCCCCTCCCCCTCCCTCCATACACACATTTTATTTTTATTTCATCTTCGCCGGCTCTTCTCTTTTCTTCCCCCTATCCCGTGTGCCCAGTTGGAAGCCGAGATTCACTTCACTACTAGGGCGGCTCTCCCTCTCATCCTTACTTCTTTGGAATAATGTGTCGTGTCGGATCAGGGGATGCTTATACGACTCTTACCAGACTCGAATACACTGGCAAAACAAAAGGTAGAACTGCCTTTCTACGGGTGTTACACTTTGTTCCTTTTGCAAAAGGCACTAAAGTGTCCAATGGCATTAAATTTTAACACCTTTGGGCAGTTTTCGTGCCTTTGCAGGGCTGCTAGTTTTTAATTCCTTTGTAAAGGCTTTAAAACCCTTCGAGTCCAGGGTAGTCCACAGACCCCTTCCTTTATTTTGCTTATACTGCACTGGATGTATGCGTGCGGGCGGGCTTGCCTACCCTAGCTCGTCGTTGCGCCTTGTGCCCCCCTGCGAGTATGCAACCCGGCCGCACGCCTACGTCCGGTACAGTATAAGCAAAATAAAGAAAGGGGTCTGTGGACCACTCTGTAAATCCCAGTGTGGTACGCTGTGTCCTTGATGTAGTTTACAGCGCAACGAAAAAAAGAGGATTTGAAAATTCGTTATAAGCCAGATGCTTTTAGCAATGAGCACAGCAAATTAAAGTGGCGGTGTTTTTTCAGCAAATCATGGCCACCGCATGTGCCCATATGTTGGACTCACCGTGTTAGTTGATGATATCTCTTACTTAATCATTTTTTTCTTGCCAAATGAAGGGGAACAGCGCGGCTCCGTCCCGTCGTCGTATATAAAAGAAACAAAAGCAAACGAGGCTTGTATTTTTGGGAGAAAGGGACAAGAAAAGAGTATGGGCTGGACAAAAGCGCGCAGAGGAACGGTATGGCGCAAAAGTATAAATGGGCTGCTGTCGCCATACAGCCCATCGGCGAATTGAGCCGTTAAACACACACAGACACGCACACAGCGCCCGGGCCGACGGACAAGGCGACGGCCCCTGCCACGCTTTTGTGCGTCTCCTAATCGGCCTGACGGGATATTATTTACCCGGCCTCCGGTCTGGTCTAGCCCGGCGGAGCGGCCCTCTCCCCTACACCCCACACACAGCCTCCTGGCGGCCCGCGCAGTCAGAAAATCCATCGCCGGTCATCATCCCATTTGCATGGACGGTGCCCGGGTTGTTCCAGCCACCCCCGCACACTGAGAAACTCGGCGGGCGGAACGTTCTCTGTTGTTGTTTTAGAGTCATCGCTGCGGAGGAGCCTGGTCTGGCACTCCTGCTACTGGAATATTTTTCTTTTTAATCATCGCAAGGCTCGGACCTGCTGCGCTGCTGTGCGGGCGGTAGCATGGGCAATTCCAGGTGTGTCTTTGTGTGTGAGTGTGAGTGTGAGTGTGTGTGTGAGTGAGAGAGAGAGAGAGAGAGAGAGAGAGAGAGAGA